ACTTGTTTTATTAATCAGATACTCTTGTATGCACATCCAGTTTCTCATTTGTATTTACCTGCCAGCAACTGCACCTCTGGTGTTATAACACAGCCGCAACACTGATACAAAGCATGACAAATTACAATGTGTTAGTCACACATTCTTTGCTTGAAGGCATAAACATGACATTCAATGAAATCCATTACAGAAACCTTTATCCTTCCCTGACAGAACTCTGTATGCTAGACAATAGAGAGAGAGAGCTGGCCGTCGGTGTTTTAATTCTCTGTCACATCTTTATTGTACATCTTTCATGCTGATTGCCTTATGGCCTTTTAACTGCGTGTGTGTGTGCGTGTGTGTGTGTTTTTTTAAGTTTTATCTAAGAGAAGCAGTTTCAGGGGAACTGTTTTTTAAAACAATAGTGGGGAATAGGGAAATATGCTTATTTGCGCATATCCGTCCATTTAGTATGGAGCTATAGCAAGGAGTCAATTAGCTTAGCATAAAGACTGGAAGCAGGGATAAACAGCTCCCCAGGCTCCCCTGGCTCTTGACCAAAGGTCAAGTATACACCTACATGTCTAAAGCTCACTAACATATTACTTTAAAAGTAAAAAGTAAATGTAAAAATGACAAGTCAAAGTCGAGTCAAGACCTTCTCAAGAGTAGGGCCAAAGTCCGCCTGACCTGCCTAAAAGCAGGTGTTGGTTTTCATCTTACTCTCACCAAAAATAAGAATTAAGCGTATTTCCCAAAACTGCCAAACTATTCCTTAAACTATACAGAGCTGTAACCTGAAGTGGTTAGCCCAGCTTTGCATAAATCTGGATGCAGTGGGAAAGTGGGAGCCTGGCTCTCAATAATACACCTATTAGTCTCTGTGAAGCTCACCAGTTAACACATACATTTCATTTGACTGCACAAACAGAAATGTAAAAATGATAAGTTTCGGTTTTAGTTTACATACTATAACCTTTTGGTTCGCAATACTTTTTTCATCCGGCCAGCACTTCTGTGCAGCATCTTCACGGTTTGCCTCATGGTGATGACAAGATCCCTGGAACAGTGGGCGCTGCTGTTGTTCACCGGCCGCCGTTTGTGTACAATTAGTGAGCTTTGGAAGTGTTGGTAGCAGTACTTTTGAATTGTTATAAAAAGCCAGCTATGCTTTTTTCCTTCTGTTTCCAGTCTTTTTGCTAAGCTTATCACCTCCTGGCTCCAGCTCCATAAAATGAGTAGTACCAATCTTCTTACCTGAGACTGAAGATTGATAAGAAACATATAATTCAAACTGTTCCTTTAATGCTGGTAGTTTATTACAGGCAGCAGACGGTCCTAAAAGTAGTTTTTTGGTAGTAGTAATTTGGCTAAAAGTGGCTACTTACTGTATGTAAGTATTTGTGTTTTAGTGTCTGTGTGTGTTTTCTTTGTAAATTATGTTGTTTCTCTGGTTGTTGTGCCTTAAGATTTTAATGGATTAACACTGAGCCAGATAGAAAACTCAGGTAGAGGTTACAGGTTACAAGCAGAGGAGATTAAGATAAAGTTTGAGTAAGAGAGAGAGAGAGAGAAAGAGAGAGAGAGAGAGAGAGAGAGAGAGACTCAGATTATTCATTAATAAGACTTAGGTCCTTGAATCTATACCCTAGGCCCCTTCAAATCCCCCAGGAAAGAAAAATACTATCCGTTTAAGTGAAAGCTATTCTCTGCCACTTTCAAAATTGTAGCACCATATCTCAGGGTATTTAGCTTTAAATCTTCCTGTGAGTATTTACCACAACATAATGTACAAACATGAGATACTTTACAATCTGGCCTGTCTTGATTTGCCACTTCCCGCCCACTGAGCACTCATGCAGATCTGCTGAAATCAGTCATGACATGTGTGAGGGAGGCAGAGAAGACGGGGGATTTTGGAGGTCAGGCTGAGTTGAAGACATTGCCAAGGAAAAATACACAGTTAAGGACTTATGGAATGATGCTGTTGAAGCTCAGTTCATGAATATATATACCTTTTGTTGTTAAAATAGTTGTGTGGTCTGATCTGAGCAGCACAGTCTTCAACCTCAAGTATAGTCAGGTGAGCAAGAGCGTGTGTTTGGCTTTCAGATGATATAACACTCTTAAATAAATAAGTAAAATTCAATTAGTACATATGCTGATGATGAAGAAAACATGTATTTAGTTCTCCTTTTTGCCCCTTGAGCCAGAGAGATCTTCAAAGACCTGAGTTAAAAGGAGACACGATGTAGGACGAGCCAATCTCCGTCTGTGCATTTTTCCGGATCGTTTGATGGGTTTTGCTTCAGATCTGCAGCACAGGAGCAAACCACCAGCAGCGTGAGGATGTGACCCGCTGACACAGCAAGCCATAAACACTTTGACGAAAGAGGGGCAGCGATGACAGAATCCATTCTGCTTGGTCATGGGGGCGACTCTAGTCAGCTTCAGAGGATAAATAAATAACTATGAGGCAGGCAGACAGAGGAGGTGTGTGTTATATACCTCGTCTGGGTCCAGGTTTCCTGGTAAACTCTCACCCAAATCTGACCTCTGATTGGTTTGGAAGGTCTCCAGTGAATAGTGTTTCCCAGCACACATATAAATACACAATTACACACAAGTAAAAAGCTGAGGCAGCTGACCTCTGCCTATGAATCGGCCAGAGTTCCGGTGCAGTGAGCCCCAGAAACAACTTTTATTTCAAGAGGATAGAAGGATTTTCTATGAAATATTACTTCTCCAGTAACTTTTATTGATGCTTGTAGAAGGACACAGGTGTAGAAGTTGCACGATAAAGAAAAATGAAACAGCGGCATTGATTTAATTTGATGCAACCACACAGTCTGGTCTTAACCACCCATCAGGCTTTGTGAAAGCACTCCTGGGTACTACACAGTGTACAAATGTAGTGTGGTTAATAAACAGTTAACAGTTACATCTCTGGAGGATATACTAAATAATGCTCTAGTGGAAAAGGCGAATATTGTTTACACCTACGACTGGCTACAGGGTCTCAGACACAGTGGGTGAGCCAGAACTTTGTGTGAACAGACACAAACTGTTTCTACCATATCATTCAAATAACAGCTTACATCTTTGGTTAACCAAATCAAAGTTTTCAGAACCATTTTTGTGTGAAGCAGGGAGAGCAAAAATCCTACAGAAGCCTTTGTTATGATTCTGACTTTGATGGCATTAGTGTGTAATCTGTAATGTCTCATTTTGTCTGTTGTGTTTGGAGGAAGCAGCTAAGCAATCTTAATCCGGGTAGTTTTTCTTGTGAGCTTCATTTACAAAAGATTCTCACAAGTTTACAACTTTGTGTGTACAGTCAAACCCAAGCTCTTGTGTTGAGTCGGCGTCAGTTAAGACTGCAATGTTATTGGTCATAGACCTTCGCATACTGTACTATATTATAGAACCACAGGCTGCAACAACAAATCAAAAAGCAAATACTTGATGGGATCAAGACAAGACATTCACATAGTGGAGAGAGACAGAGAGTAGGAACAAGACAACAACCAGTCCACTTTGTCTATTGTGTTCTCTGATGTTAAAGTAAATGATTCGTCTCATTCTGGAGATGTTTTTATTAATTGTATGCTGTAATTCCCAGTTCTAGCCCAATAATAGCTTAACTACCCCTTCTTCCACCACCTGACATTTACCAAATGTGTTCATCTAAATAGACTTTAAACAGCATCTTATCAAACACTAATGATCAGGTAAAAGTGGATATTGTTGATTCTGTCATACAAAATATTTTTTATATGTTGATGTTTTGGCTTGGTCTAACTGACTCAGGTCAGTCAGCCTATCATCACTGGAAGCTCACTGGTTTTTGTGACAAATACACTGAAGATTGCTACTAAATCATAATTGTATTCAATGATCTACTCCACAAGCTAGATTTGACTACTGTTTTGATTGGTTGTTGCAGTTTGGCACCACTACAGAGGAGTTGTTGTTTCATAGAGGACAAAATGTTGCAGTTTTGATAAACATAGCATTGACATTGTTTGTGAATTCAGAGCATCATTTCAGTTTCCCTCTCAACTTTCTATGAGCTGTGTACTCGGAAACATTTCAAGTCTGATTTATTACAGATCACAAACCTAATGTAGAATTTTGATGATGAATGTCAATGATGTTAATTTCCATTTTTAATCTCACTGATGCTCTCGAGCCTGAATAATAGCAGCTTACCACAGAGGCTACCTGAAAATGATTGCACTTAAAAACAAATCATTACTCATATGTTCTGAGTCACACCACTGACAGCATCGATGTAAATAATAAATAAACAGTTTCACAACGGTAAACAAAATCTATGAATAACAGTGATGAAGAATGCCGTCCTGCACTCTTTCAGTTTTTCAAAAGACAGTCGAAGTAATCTCTTTATTTGATCTTTTTCAATGTGCTGATAAGCAGATAAGTAAACACTTGTTCTTTTAGAAAAGGACAGAGGTTGGTGTAACATTAAAACATTTTAGAGCGAAAAAACAATACATTTTTATAATATTGATACATGTGTGATTATGAGGCACCACACCAAAGTACTGTACTGTCTTCAATTATTTACATGAGGGAAAAAAAGCATTAGTCCTTCTGGCTATAAATGCTTGAAATGTAAAGATGATGAAAATATCTTTGTGTATATAATAATAATTTGTGTGTGTGTGTGTGCGTGCGTTCATATGTGAGTGTAAGCAGCAGGCATGACAGCAGAGTGATAAGGTGTTTGTTTTTTACTGTGGGTTAGTGCTTTTGTGGCTGCAAGGCAGAGAAAACACATGACACAAAATAGGATGGAGAAGGATAGACACTTTTTTGATTTTGACCTCACACACTCACACACACACACCACACACACAACACACACAGACAAAATCACTAACTGTGACAGTTGGTTAAAATGCTGTAAACTCTGTGGCCTCAGCCTTATACAGACACAATCAATTGTTATTTATATCCTCTCTCTTTCTCTCATACACACACACACACACACACACACAGTGAAAGCATCATTGGGCGCCTATCTGGCCCAGCAGTACTGATGTATTCCACATATTTCTCACAGGGTACAAACACTTGCCTAGGAGAGACGCACCGTACCCAGACCGAGTCCAAGCCACATGTACAAGATCACACAAAAAAACACACATCCTGATAGAAAGTTTCCACTGCAGTTCCCAGTTTGGACACACACAGAACACTGAAGCAGAAATGGGACTTTGTAGTTTTTATGGATGAGTCTTTTTTTTGTTGTTTTGTTTTTAGTGAAACGGTTTTGCTTCTGAAACAGTAAGCAAGGAGCCCCTTCGTCCCATTGGTCCTCATGTTGAGAGTGTGACGTAATAAGAAGGTAGAGAAAGAAACGTAGCAAGAGACAGAGAGAGAAGATAGCTAACACTGTCTAATGTCACAAACAACGCTTGTGTGGAGATTGTCAAGGCCTTCGCATTATATTCAGTGAATGAGGTCACATTGTAAATCAAGTGTCTCTGAAAACCCTTCGCCTCCTGTGCAGTTCATGCAAGTTCAGCCACTGTGGCGTGCATGCATCACAGTAACTGTGTTAAGTAAGTTTATTGTATTTAAATGAAGGGAGAAGAAGTCAAGTGAGGAGGGGGAATGAGCCGAAGCCCACATCAGGGTCCAAAAGCAGCCTGGATGGAGCTGAATGAAATCCTCCTCAATCAGCTTACTCTTGTATCTTAAACCCCCTTTCTACACCTTAGTTCAATCCTTTGATCCCTTTAGCATCCTTTCATTTCTAGTCCAATCCCTGAAAGTAAATTTGTGAAAGCCTCCCAGGCCAGCACTTTAACCTACAGCTCAGAACACTTCAAATTTGTGTCTGCAAGGTAAAATGTCTATTACAGCCTATCCATGCAGGGAGCATTCAGAAAGAACGTTTCCATGACTTACAAAGGATCTTCTGGAAGGCTCTGCGGAAGTCCTGATTGAAGATGGTGTAGATGACCGGGTTTAGAGAGCTGTTACAGTAGCCAATCCAGAAAAAGAACTTGAAAAGCGTCTCAGGGATCTGGCACGGCTCCCGGCAGATTCCGTACAGGCTGTAGGAAAAGAAGAATGGGAACCAGCAGACGACGAAAACGCCCATGACAACGGCGAGGACGAAGGTGAACCGCTTCTCCCGAGCAGCAGAGACTTTCTTCCGATTGACGGTGCTCCTGCGTTTGCGTCGAGATGAGAACAGCTCCATAGACTTGGAGCTGGCCCGCGACTTCCTGCTGGAGTATTTAGAGGCGGAGCTACTTTTCCGACTGGACTTCCTATCTTTTCTGTCGTCGTGATGATGTTTGGAGGAACTGGAACTTTTTTTAGGTTTCTCGTCTGACGAGCTGCTGTCTTCGAAGTCGTCGTCGTGGTCTGTCGGTGGATGTTTCGGCTCGTTCGGTAGGGGGGATCGAACCGCCTGCTCTTGGCAGTGCCCATTCTCACGTTCCTGGTCTTTCATGCTCCCACCCCTGTTGGACTTTAATGACCCTCCTTTGCCTGGTTCGACTTGGTCCATCCCATTCTCCATCGGCGAGTCCATGTCCCTCTTCTTCTCTGACATTGTTCTGGTCCTCGTCTTTGCCACTTGGTAGATCCGAATATAGACCAGGATCATGATGACACAGGGGGCAAAGAATGAGCCAATACTGGAGTAGAGGATGTACCAGGTCTCATCATTCAGGATACACTGGGGACTGGCCTCATTGCTGCTCCTGTCCATTGATATCAGCGGTGGGAAGGAGATAACAGCTGAGATCAGCCATACCACCACAATCATCCCTTTAACTCTTTTAGGTGTTCTCTTTAAGTTATACTCTACCGCCTGTGTCACTGACCAGTACCTGTCCAAACTGATAGCGCACAGGTGAACAATAGAAGAGGTGCAGAATAAAACGTCCAGGGCCAGGTAGATGTCACACCATATTTTGCCAAAAAACCAGTAGCCCATGAGTTCATTTGCCAGAGAAAAAGGCATGACAAGCGTGGCCACCAGTACGTCTGCACTGGCTAGGGAGACAAGAAAAAGGTTCTGGGGTGGTTTCAGAGCTCTGCTCGTTAAAACAGCGATAACAACCAAGACGTTCCCGACTACTGTAAACAAAATCAGAAAGCTGACAAGTCCGGCCAGACCCCAGATAGCGAGCTGCGTGTACTGGCTCTGAGAGGTGGAATTAGAGGAGATATTATCTGCCTTTATCCCGACCTCTAGACTGGAGCTATTAAAGAAATCCATTCTTCTTGGAGTCTTTTTTTATAGTCAAGACTTTTAAAAAATGAAAATGCACCTAAATAATGTGTAGAGATATCCCATTAGGACTTGGGTATTTTACTACATAAATCTACAGCAAATGGCAATTTTCTTCTCTCCTCACCTGCGATCTGCCACATCCTGCATATACGTCTCTTCTGTGGGAAAGAAAAAAAAAGGAAAAAAGAAAGAGAGAACGCAATATGCAAAGTGTTTTAAGTCCTTATTCCAAAAAGCATGCAGGCTGCTCAGCAGCAGAATGTCCATGGTTAGAGAGCGGGCTCCCTCCTCAACGCGTCCTCTCCCATCCCGACTGCGCCCGTATCTCTCCACCTCCGCCTCCCCGCTGTGTCCTGAGAGAGGTTTGTAACAACCACGTGTCTTTTTCTTTTTTCTTTTTTTTCTCTTTTTACATTAGAAAAAACTAGCAGGGACCAGCTCTGGCACGGTGAAGAGATGTGAACGATTACTGAAGGACAAGAGACGAAACAGTGACATAAGGAAGCAAAATTCAGTGGATTGTTTGTATTTGGAATATTTAATCAGATCAGTGTGGGCTGCTGCAGGAGCGCCGGTTGTTTAATGTGTGCCCTGTTTATCTGCAATGCCAGCGCAAACTGGCGGACAGTCACACATCGGACAAATGATCACTGAATCTCTCTCTTGATTGGACTTTTGAAGGTCTATATCAGAATATGGAGCGTTTTAATAGATAGAGTGAGTTTGAGGTCACATTGCTGTCAGAGCGCACAGACTGTCATACACAGTCATAAGAACGTGCTCTGCTCTCCGTCCTTCTGTGCGCACACTGGAGGTCAGTATTGTAACAGCCAGCCCCGGAGGGACAAACAGGCGAACACACACACACACACCATATGAACAACATTACAAAGGCAACATGATATTATTATTATCATATTATGTATACATATTATTATATCCACAGAGCCATTAGGTGAATACATTCCCCACTATGTATTGCTTAGCATTCACCCTGTAGGAGGAACGTAGAAAGAGACCGTGTGTGATCTTGCAGTTGTAACTTTTATCATCTTCCTGCACTCTCTTGCCATTATTAGTTCGTGTGTTTGCGGTGCAGTAATTGTATTGATAAGAAGATTACAGGATTACGTGGTGTCGTTGACATGTTCTGATGGAGCTGAGAAACTCTCAGCTTTTGGCTATAACAACGGCACTAAATCATCTGAATGGGAGGCATTTGTGAAGGCTTACAGAGCAGAAACGGACTTGCATGTTATTTGATTAATGAGTATAGCCTACACCTTAAAGTCATGGGTACATCCCCAGGGTGGGCTTTATCAGAGGCAATAAAGGGCTGAATCTATCATGATTATGACTTTCAGGTTATCTTGTCTGGAGTTATTTATTTTGTGTGTTTTCCCACGTGGACACACCTGAGCATGCACATGTGCCACACAAACAAAGTTTTTGGTCTGCTTTTTCTTGCTTTCTGCTCCCATCAAACCCTCCTTTGATCTGGGTGGTGCATGGAGAAAGCCTATCTCCCTTTTGGCATATAGCCTGGTATTAAGTTCCTGGACCAGTGCGTTTATTGACCGGTCTCCCGGCTAAGTACCTGTCATTAATCACAGAGCGCCCAGCCATACTGAATTAAAGAGCACCCACAGCTGCAAGAAATGCTCAAGTCGAAATTGATCCTCATCAAGGCTATGAGGTGGAATGAGGAGAGCTCAAGGCGTCGTGGTCCGTCTGCCTGGGAAACACAGTCAGGACGTTCCCCCACCCATCCCCAAAAGCTCCTTCTCATGCTGCCTGTTTAAATTGAACTAAGGCTAGAATGATGCTGTAGGTCAGCGTGGATGCACTCTAAGCTGATTTTGAACAGACAGACAGGCCTTATTATGGTCATTAAGTCGTGTCCCGGGGCCACAGCTCTGTCTATATAATTGGGGCACCAGTGAGCGATCTCAGCTGTTAGCAAGCCCCTTTCTTGTTTCCGACATTGTGCTCTGCTCTGAGGGAATACGTTGGCTCTTCCTGCTGCAGTACTAGCCAGAAGTCAGCTTTTGGGTGTCAAGGAGATGTTGATTACTTTTATCTCTTTAAATCAATGCTTTGTACTGTTTTACTCTCTTCAAACTAAACATACTAAATTATCCTCCTTTTGGTGCTGTTTTGTTCCTTCTTGTTCTTGTTCAGTCACTCCAGTTGAACAAAGTGTGACCCTTGTTTGCTCCTTTGCAGTCATCTGCACTTTTTACGTTACACTGCAGCATTTGTGGAACTGAAAATAAAGGAGAAGCCCAGAGATTTCTGTTAAAGGGGGAAGCGAGAAGCAATATGACCCTAATAGGATTCACCTAATAGAGCTTTAAACACCTGATGTGTTCTCACAAGGTAACATGACCAGCCCGTTGAAAACCAATACAGTGACCACTTTGGTGATTGTGCTTTATCACACCATCAACTCCTAATAATAGCTAGTGGACAATTTGACACAGGGGTCCACATTCTGCTTATAAACTCTTATCTTCTACTTGTACATGGTGTGCACGAATGTACAGCATGAGCAAAGAATCAGCTACATGCCCACAAAAGCTGTTCCCTGAAGAAATCAAGTTTGTTATTAGTAAGGACAGTAATGACTTCTACTTTTCCCACCCTCCCTAATGTGGAGTACTTTCACATATAGCGCCCTCCCCATAAGGGAAAGTATGGTACCAGCTGTTGACAATGACAAATGGCAGTGCTACCTGGGCAGACAACTATAGAACCAAGAACAAATTGTTCAGGGGAGCAACATCTAGCCCAGGAGAGTCGTTCTCTCACTAGCATCCCCTCATAGAACAGGGCCTGCCTCTTATCTAGTGCCTCGCATTTCTGTGACAAATTACCTTGTAGGAAAAACAGTAAAATAAGATCAATGGAATTTCTGATATGAATTTCTTTCACTGCTTTAAAATCCAGGACATTTCCAGTTTATGTAACCTTATTCCTGAATCTATCATAATGAAAAATAAAGTCGGTACCATCTGTGTTTCTTAGCTCACCAAATATCCTAAAATGATCTCATATCTTTCCAACTGATTCAAATCATTCAACCACTCCCAGTTGCTTCTTTATGTATAGTTGTGTGTGGACTACTAGAGTTCAGAGTGATTGAAAAAGCCACAGTGAGCTATAGTTCAAGTGAGAGCTATATCTTACACTGTCCTTCTCAACTTCATGCTTCTTCCAGAGATTTGCCAGCACATCCACAGTGACCTTGGAGTAGTTGTCCCTGGATGTCAAGCAGGATGCATTTTAAACACAAGAGGTAAGACATTTCTTGGCTTTTCTGGTTTAACTTTGGAAAGAAAGATATCTGGGTTGCATTTTAATTGTGCTAATTGCCCTTGATGTAAACTTGAAAATGATCCTTAATGGACACAAACATGCACAAACTGTGTTGACGACTGAGTTGTTGTAAACTCTGAATGAGAATGCAAGATCTTGAATTTGGATATTTAGAATCTTCCAGTCATGAAAATTGGCTTTTTAAGAATTAACTTCTGCTGAGTTTTCTACTCTTTTAATGAAGAAAATAGAATCAATAGTCTGTATATCAATATTTTGAGATTATTATGTAATACAATAATTACTATTATTACTCTTATGAATGGAATAAATCTGTAATATCAAGTAAGACCAAATCATAATAGTAATTTCCTTTTAACAAGTTCTTTTCATTTCTGTTATTCTTTTTTTTCTCTACATTTTTGTTGTTGTTCTATCCATAGTAGTCAATACAGAACTAATTTTGCTTTGTTAAATTCCAAATTAATTAGCACAAGTATGCTGAAAGTGAAGTGACATTTTGAGAATCATTTTACGGATAGTTTTGTATGCTATTTTGGACATTTGGCTTATATTCCGGTCAAAAATAAAGTATAAACAACCTATAGCACGTATAGTACATAGTACTGTACATTTTGGCATTTCATCACTCTCATCACTTCAGACTAATACAACAGTCCTTTTCAAGGCCTTCTGCAGTGTGCCATCTCTGTTATTCAGGTCAGTATAAGTATAAGTGACTCTTGTGTTAACACAAATCAAATAGCTTTTCCATAAATGATGACCCAGAATGGCATTAGTTCTGTATGAAACAGTGTCAGCCTCGTAGCTGTATCACAGCAGACTGTTAGAGTGCAGAGACACAACTTTAGATTATGCAACTGTCCCGTGAAAGGTTGACTCTCCAATTATAAGCATTGCCTTGCTTGAGATAAATGGCTGTGCACTGTCTGGCCAGGCAAAGTCAGTGCTTTTCATCTGAGGGACAGTTGGGCCAAACTGGCGGATCTGCAGGCAAGTTGAGCGTTAGGCACAGCAGGAATGTGTTGAAAACGTGACGCCCCAGAGATAGACCGACATCAATCGACTTGGTGTTGCATCATGATCTGCACACCAGATTGACTTGCCATTTGTGAAAAATGGCCATCTGTGAAGTGTCACTTCGTGAGAGGTCACAGATAGGCTGAGAGAGGAGAGACCAATTGTTATAGGAATCAAATGTGAGGCTGGAGACAGGAGAGAGTGATGGATTGGCTATGAGAAGTCATTATTAGTTCAGGTTTGCCAATGAAGTCAAGACTAAGAGTTAAATGCATCATGTGTGCCTAACAAGATACTAAAATAAATCTGGAGATGTTGACACATGGTACATTATCCAGTGAGTCAATGCTCCTCTACTGTAGGCTACCTAGAAGAAAAACTACCTAATGTAGACATGAAAATGAATCCAAGTCAAGACATTCAGCTGTAAATTACGTGCAGGCTCCCCCTCATAAACAACACAGAGCTCAGCAATGCCAAACCCGTCAGCTGTTAAAGTAAACCATCCCAATGGGTAGCACTTTGACATCCAGTCAAACATGCAACCACACAGTAATGCACAATCTGCAGAAAATTCCACTAAAGCTTTTTTGCATTACATTACCTCTTCCATCTATACCCTGATCGATAGATCATTTCACAGCCTTCAGTAACCACAAAGAATGTTTTCAAGTGCTGTGGGTTTTT